TAATTGCAAACAAAGGTTTCTGTACCAAATATTAAAGTTCTGCTTTTCTGATGTATCAAATACTTATGTCATGCAACAAAATGCAAATGAATTACTTAAAAATCATACAATGTGATTTTCTGGATTTTTGTTTTAGATTCCGTCTCTCACAGTTGAAGTGTACCTATGATAAAAAATTACAGACCTCTACATGCTTTGTAAGTAGGAAAACCTGCAAAATTGGCAGTGTATCAAATACTTGTTCTCCCCACTGTATATATATATATATATATATATATATACTACCAGTCAAAAGTTTGTACACACCTACTCATTCAAGGGTTTTTCTTTATTTTTTTTACATTGTAGAATAATAGTGAAGACATCAAAACTATGAAATAACACCTATGGTAACCATTAAAGTGTTAAACAAATCAAAATATATTTTATATTTGAGATCGTTCAAATAGCCACCCTCTCAACCAGCTTTTGTTTTTCAACAGGACAATAACCCAACACACCTCCAGGCTGTTTACAGTTTTTCTCGATTGCTAAGACACATTTCTTGAAAGCTGCTCTCCTTTTCTCCTTTTGTGAACACAAAACCCAATTTTCAAGCTACATTCACAAAACCTCAGACTCTTCTTGCAAAACCAAACTTTCACCTCAAAACAGTTCAATCTGTGCTCAAAACTGAACTATGTTGTCAAATCGTGCCCCAGGTCAATCAAAATAAAAAACACTACTGAACAGTCACTAAACACTACGTAGAAAAATAGAAAACACAATGCTCAGGACATGAAGCTGGAGAAATAAATGTTTATTGTTCACTGTAGGCTAAATGCATGTTGCAAAACAAAAAAAACCTGTGCATTTAGCACTTGTACAAAAAGACAAAACAGAAATCTTGTGCATTTACATGTAGCACTTGTAAAAACAAACAGAAATCTTATGCGTTTGCCACTTGTGTACAGTAAGCCCATGTAAAAATAAAGTAAAAAAATATACAAATAAGTGCATTACTCAGCCACAGCATCATGTCTCCGTACTGGGTCAGGCCACAGGACTTCATCCACATCACAGGCCACATTTTGTCTGGCCAGGCAACGGGGGAAAAAAAACCCTGGCATGCCGTATCCAGGCTTGGCATGCCTCCACACCTATGTCACCACAGGCAAGTCCCATGGCTTGCAGGAGATTTACCCTGGTGTAAGGTTGGCGTTCATATACCTTCCACCGCCATGAGGAGAATAATTCCTCAATGGGGTTTAGGAAAGGGGAGTACGGTGGAAGGCAAAGATTGATAAAACCTTGGTTCATATTGTACCACTCTCTAACCTGGAGGGCTCTGTGAAAACTCACATTGTCCCAAACAACAACATAGGTGGGATGCTCATCCTGCTGCCCTAACAAAGCATCTCGCATGTGATTGAGGAAAATGAGGAGCTGGTGAGTGTTGTAGGGCCCCAGGTTGGCATGATGGTGGACAACCCCATGATTGCTGATGGCAGCACATAATGTGACATTGCCACCACGCTGCCCAGGAACACCAACAATGGCCCGATGGCCAATCACATTACGGCCTCTCCTTCTCCTTTTGGTGAGATTAAACCCAGCTTCATCCATGTAGATGTATTGATGGGGTCTTTCCATTGCATCCAGTTGAAAAACCCTCTGTAGAAATAGATATAGTTTTGTAAGTGATACGGAAAAAGTGATTTAGGCCACTACAGTAAATCACTACTTAGAGTAATCAACATTGAATGTGTCTGGATATATGCCAACCTGTACATACTGGAATCTTTGCTCTTTGACTGTCTGAGTTGCGATCAAAGGACACTCTGTATAGCTGTTTCATGCGCAGTCTGTTGCGCTTGAGGACACGATCAACAGTAGAGAGGCTGACACTGTTGATACCCTCAAAATTTAAATGGTCCTCAATGATCTTCTGCTGAATTTCGCTCAGTTTAATGGCATTGTTCTCACGGACCATATCAACAATTAGGGTCTCTTGGTGTGGGGAGAACATACCTGTCCTCCCACCCCCATGTGGCAGTCTTTCAATTCTACAAAAAGAGAACATGGAGTTACAAAAATATACATGGAATACTAGGCCTACAAACAGTTAGACCAACCCTCCATTACAATACTACAGTACATTGGTACAGTGATGTACTGAAACATATATTTACTTACAGTATACTGTGGTACAGTATATAGTATGTCATACAGTAATTGCTGTCAACATTTACATACTGTACTATAATGTCAAAAAAGGTAATTACCTGTTCTCTTCTCTAAATCTTCGGATTATGGTGGACACAGTGAATCTACTGATGTTTGGTTGTACCCTTTGTCCAGCCTCCCTCATGCTCATACCATGGACAAGAACATGGTCAATCACAGTAGCTCTGATTTCATCAGATATTACTGTTCTTTGTCTTCGCTGACCACCTCGACCACCTCGACCTCCTCTCACACAAACTCTTCCTCTCAGATTTCTATCCATTGTAGGGCCTCACAAACCAGTGCTCTCTGAACTGGCTTACTGTATATGTTCCCTCACATCATTAGCCACAAGTGTGATCAATTTTTGAGTTGTTGTGTTCAAGTGGTGACACCTGTGCTCTAATTGTGTTTGACTTTTGTCACCTGTGCTCACCATTATGCAGCACGGGTGCATCACAATGAAAATGTGTTGGCAAGTTATGTCTAAACAGGTGAAAAAGTGCTTATGGTTTTGCCAAAGAGTGATTGATTCAATCAGTGGGGTTCAGGCAACTGGAAATTTTGGGTTTGCAATGGGTTTAGTTTTTTTAGCCCCAAATTTAGGAAAAAAATGGGAAGGGGTATTTTACCAAAAAAGGAGAGTGATGGGGGTGCTTAAACAGGATGGCCTCAATCCCCCGACCTAAAAAAAAGGGAGGGGAGAGAGGATGAGAGGGAGAGCGGAAGAAAACGGGGTTTGAGAGGGGATTTTTTCCCCGGGAAGGGGGAGAAGAGATTTTGAGGGAGAGGAGGGGAAAAAAGGGGGGGAGGCCCGGGGAGGGGAAGAGGGAGGCGCCGAGAAAGGGGAGGGGGAGAGGGGGAGGGGGAGATGAAAGGAGAGAGAAAAGATGAAGAAAGAGGGGATGAGAGAGAGACGGGAGACAAGACGAGGGGAGAGAAGAAGGGGGGCAGAGAGGGGGGAGAGAGGGGCCGGAAAAGGAAGAGCTTTTGGAAAAAGAAAAAGGAACCCCGGGAGGGGAGGAGAAATCGTTACTTTAAGGGAAGAAAGGGAAAAGGGGGGATAAATTGGGAAAAGGGAAATGGGTGAGTTTCCAAGGAAAAAGCACAAAAAAACCCCTGGAAATAGATCAGAGGGGAGGGGGAAAGGAAGGTTTTGAAAAGGATTTCCGGGGAAAAAAAAAAGGGGTAAGCGGGGATTTTGAAAAGGGGAAAGGAAGGCTCGCGTTAAAAGGGGAAAAACTTTATTTTTTCCCCGGAAAAGGTGGGTAAGGGGGAAATGGGTTTAATTTTTATTTTTTAAAAATTTGTTAAAAAATTAAGTGATGGAAAAAGATTTTTAATGGAAAAAGGTTGGGGTGTGTGTGTTTGTTTTTGTTGTTTGGGGTGGGTTTTGGTGGTTAAGGTCATTCCCCCAAAGGGTGGGAAAATTTTATTTTAATGATTAAAATTTGGCCCAAGTTGGTTAGGAAAAAATCCCCCCTCCTTTTCATAAAGGTTTATTTAATTTCTAGTGGTGTTGCTTGTTAATTAAAAGGGGGGTTTTGTGTGGTAATTTTTTGTGTTGAGTGTGTTTTTTTGTTTAAACAAAGGAGGGTGTCAAATTTTGAAAACCGGTTTGGGAGAATTTTTAAACCCCCCTGCGCAGAGGGGTTTAATTTCTAGTGGGGGCCAAAAGGGTTTTTTTTTTGTTGGTTTTTTATGGGTGGTTTAGGGGGGGTTTAAACCAAATTGGCGGGTTTTGGGATTAAAAAATTTTTTAGCCCCTAAGTATTAAAAAAAAGGGGGGTTTTTAATTTCCCAGAGGGCACGTTTCCCAAAGGGGTGTTTAAAGTATTATTTAAACATATTTTTAAATTGATTTTGAAAAAAAAACTTTTTTTGGGGGGGCCAAATAAAGAAAAGAAGGGGGGGGGGAAAAGGGGGGGGAACCCCTTTTTTTAACTCCCCAAACCTCCAGAGAGAGAATGAGCAATAGAGAAGCGAAAAAAATGATAATCGTTACTGTAAGAATGAAAGTAAAAAGAGATATGAATGAAGTTAGAGGGCAAATGGTGCTGTAGTTTCCAAGCTAACAAGTCATTCAACAAAACCACTGCTACTAGCATTCAGCAGTGGCAGTTTGGTGACAAGTTAAGGCTCTATTCAATCCGGATTGCGGAAATTCAGTGTTACAGCGTGATTGAAATTTAAAGGCAATGTTCTCGCGTTAGCGAAAACTGCATTCACGGTAAACATGTCGGCTCAATCGGAAATGACCTTTACATTTCTATTGCAGAATATGTTACGCTTCAGTGATGCAGATTGAATGGAGCGTGTGTGTGTGTGTGTGTGTGTGTGTGTGTGTGTGTGTGCGTGTGTGTGTTTATGTGTTCCTCCACACATGTGAGACAATGTCATTACTGAGCTCTCTGCAAGTAGATCAGGTATATAACTCCCTTCTGCCTGTCTAGTATGTGTTGATGATTACTAGTGTGTGCTGTAATAATGGTTTCTAGTGTCAGGTAATATGTGTGTTGAGTGTGTTTAAACCAATGCGTGTGTCTAATTAGTGAAATCCGGTTGTAGCACACCTACAGTATCTAGCGCTACAGAGGGGGTTTCACATCTCTCCAGCAGAGGGCAGCGTTTCCCTAGTTGAGTAATGGAGTAGGTTTAGGTTGGCCAGGCTAAGACACTGATCTAAGGTCGATTTTGAGTCATTATACTTTCTCCCACGCTCCAAATAAAGTAATAAACGTATTTGTGTGTGTGTGTGATAATTTCCAGAGGAACATCAAGCTAGCAACCTCAGCGAGTGTACACCGATTTTATTATCAATACATATTATTATAACTTGTATTTTGCAATGAAACACACGAGGACATGCCAAAGAAGAGGGTGGCCACAATAAGAGAGGAAAGATTGAAGAGGGGAGAGGGAAGAGGGGAGGGTGGGATCTCCCTCTTTTCTTCTTCCCTCCAAAGTCGTCTTCTCCCTTCTGCCCTATGAGAGTGGGAGTTTCTTTATTTCCAACGACCACCGACCTTCCCCTTACCATGGACCTTTTTACTACAGGGGAGTGAGATAGGGAGAAAGAGAGCTAAGTTCAGAAACAACTATTCGTAGAGAAATGCACATACCATACAAACACGTTACTGAAAAAGTGGCCAAAAAGTTCACATAAAGAAACCAAGAAATTGAATAGGGTTGCTGTACTTACAATTTCTGGGCACTCGTGATTCTGTTCAAGAGAACGATAATCTGCACACAAACAAATGACACAATTGCATCAGTGATTTCACAAATACTACACAACAGACGTCTACAGTCGCTTACACACAAGCCTAAACATCTACGGATTCTGCCTTTGGTACATGTGTCCAGGTCTTCCCACCTGATATTTCTGTTTCTTCATGTGATCGATGAAGTCAAACTTATCAGACTCCAGCGTGAAGATCCAGTTCCACATCTCCTGAGCTTGTTGCCTGGGAGACCAAGAGAGAGGGGGGGGGGGGGGGGGGGGGGGGGGGGGGTTACAGGTGGTAACCATAGCAACACAGTTGGCAGGCCAGGTGTGTGGGCTTTGGACATGTATTCTTGAAAACTGATGTGATGGTGTGAGGAAGATTTTGGCCCAGGTGTGATCGGCCGGGACTCACTTCAGGGCATCCTCTCTCAGGTTGTCGATCTCCAGTGTGGGTCGTCTCTCAGCCAAGGTCTTCCTCTTGATCTCTCTCCCCGTTAGACGCTTCCCCCTCCCACGATGCTCTGCCTGAAATACAATCACATGTTCTAATTCAATTTCTATGTTTAAAACAGTCTGACAGAACATGCACGCAACTCTAAATTGAGCAACCAAATAGATATTTATCTTAATGAAACACTGTATAAATCCAAAGATCTGTTCCTAAAGCTAACAAGAGAATGACAGTGGACATAAATACCTTTTGCAGGAAGCCCCCAAAGTTGGCCCCCATGTTGGAAAGAACCTTCTTCTTCTTGGCCTCATCATCGTTCTTCTTTTTAGCCTCCTCATCTTCCTTTCTCTGCCGTTCTTCCTGAGCACGAGAGAATGCTAAAGTTAGAAAGGAAAAGTACTAGGGGTACCACAGGGGTGTGTACCGAGCCCTACCACAATCCTGGGGTACCACAGGGGTGTGTACCTGGCCCTACCACAATCCTGGGGTACCACAGGTGTGTACCAGGCCCTACCACAATCCTGGGGTACCACAGGGGTGTGTACCCGGCCCTACCACAATCCTGGGGTACCACAGGTGTGTACCCAGCCCTACCACAATCCTGGGGTACCACAGGTGTGTACCAGGCCCTACCACAATCCTGGGGTACCACAGGTGTGTACCCAGCCCTACCACAATCCTGGAGTACCACAGGTGTGTGTACCCGGCCCTACCACAATCCTGGGGTACCACAGGGTGTGTACCCAGCCCTACCACAATCCTGGAGTACCACAGGTGTGTACCAGGCCCTACCACAATCCTGGGGTACCACAGGGTGTGAAGTTTGACCCTACCACAATCCTGGGCTACCACAGGTGTGTACACGGCCCTACCACAATCCTGGGGTACCACAGGTGTGTACCAGGCCCTACCACAATCCTGGGGTACCACAGGTGTGTACCAGGCCCTACCACAATCCTGGGGTACCACAGGGGTGTGTACCCGGCCCTACCACAATCCTGGGGTACCACAGGTGTGTACCCAGCCCTACCACAATCCTGGAGTACCACAGGTGTGTACCAGGCCCTACCACAATCCTGGGGTACCACAGGGGTGTGAAGTTGACCCTACCACAATCCTGGGGTACCACAGGTGTGTACCCGGCCCTACCACAATCCTGGGGTACCACAGGTGTGTACCCGGCCCTACCACAATCCTGGGGTACCACAGGTGTGTACCCGGCCCTACCATAATCCTGGGCTATCACAGGGGTGTGAAGTTGACCCTACCACAATCCTGAGGTACCGCAAGGATGTGTTTTGACCTACCGCAATCCTGTTCTGCCGGTCCCGCTCCTTCTCCGCTCGAACTCGCTGCACCTCTGCCCTCTCAAACCGACGCTTCTCCTGTGGGGATGAGAGAGGGAAAGGATGAGAGGACAGGACTTTAGACTTTTTTTATCGTGACTTGTCCACTTCTTGACCAGGGTTGTGTTCTGTTGGGACAAAACGTTAAATGAAAAAACCTGAGCATTGTTATTGTTCAGATAGTTAAGGTTGTACTTCCTCTGTTCCATTTCAACAATTCAACATGAAGTAAACAGGAAGTTGACTCACGATTCGGTCCTTCAGCCCAATGAGCTCCTCCTCCTCCTTCTTCCTCTGGTCAAAGTGGACGTCAATCAGACTCTGCAACTCCAGGAGGTCCTTCTCCATCCTCTTCCTGTGGATGTCCTGTGAGAGGGAGAGAGAGAAAAGGAGAGGATTGAGATTAAATAGATTCTTATTCAGAGATGTGGTGTAATGTTCAGTAGTGGATTTGGAAATCGAAGGGCAACAGCCAATCAGGACCCAATAGTGGGCCAATTCCTTGATATGAGATGACATCACTCACATCAAAGTCCACCCTATCCCCCTCTGGAATCTTGGGAGGGGCTAGCTGGGGCACCATGGGCCTTAGAGAAAGAGAGAGACGAGAAAGGAGGAGAGAAAATAAGTGAAATAGAGGATGAACAGAGAAATAAATGTTTTGACCTATTTGTCACATGCACGAAGCAAAATTGCCACACACAAAAGTGAACATACTTGGGTATGGGAAGTTTCTCCTCTGTAGAGAGAGAGAGAGAGAGAGAGAGAGAGAGAGAGAGAGAGAGAGGAGAGAGAGAGAGAGAGAGAGAGAGAGAGAGAGAGAGAGAGAGAGGGAGAAGTTTTAACACAGGAAAGAACAGAAATATAGCTTTTGTTCTCATTCTGTCAAATGAAATCCATAGTCCTGAAGAAAATAGAGGACACAATTCTCAAAAACAGGACAAAAAGACAAGGCAATACATTTTGCGTAAATCATAAATTGATGTCAGAAGGGTGTACAATAAAAAAGATTTGAGTTACGCCTGCAGATCTGAAGTTAGTATTTGACCTCCAGAGTACAACAGGAGCAATAGCATGCACCATCATATCATCATCATCATCATCAATGAAGTGTCGGTGTGTGTAGCAACGGTACAGCTTCTGTTGATGATGCCATGAGTTAAAGAGTTAGCACATGATTCCTCCTTCATACAGGCATTTCAAATGTAGGTTAGATTTCATGTGATTAAAAACCAACTAAATCAATGTGTGCCTCAGGTGTGTTAGAATCACTCCCACAATCACTCTCACCTTCCTCCTCCTGAGCTTCCTGCTCTGATGTGCCAAAGGCAGAGAGAGCGAGAGAGAGAGAGAGAGCGAGAGCGAGAGCGAGGGAGAGAGAGAGAGTGAGAGAGAGAGAGAGAGAGAGAGAGAGAGAGAGAGAGAGAGAAAGAGAGAGATATATACAGTATATATTGAGAGAAGAGAGAGAGAGAGAGAGAGAGAGAGAGAGGAGAGAGGAGAGACGAGAGAGAGAGAGAGAGAGAGAGCCACCCCCGAGAGACCTATTGAAAGAACATTTAGAAATAAAACATGAGGAAAGAAAAGCTAGGAAAACAGCGGAGAGGAGGTGCAAGAAGAATATTGGAACAATTGAAGAGAGAGTAAGTTTAATGCAGTGGTGCCAACAAGCTTAGGAAAACTCACATTTCCCATCATGCACTGAGGGCCACATCATTGACTACAACTGTGTGACCCCAACAGCTACTAAAGGGAAATGTAGTTTTCTGAGACTTGTACTGTACAAGCGTTCATAATTACGTACATACAAGAAGTAACTGCAAATGTTCTACATATGAGGATATACACTGAGTGTACAAAACATTAGGAACCCCTGCTCTTTCTATGACATAGACTGACCAGGTGAATACAGGTTAAAGCTATGATCCCTTATTGATGTCACTTGTTAAATCCACTTCAATCAGTGTAGATGAAGGGGAGGAGACAGGTTAAAGAAGGATTTTTAAGCCAATTGAGAGTATGTGTGCCATTCAGATGGTGAATGGGCAAGACAAAATATTTAAGTGCCTTTGAATGGGGTATGGTATTAGGTGCTAGGCGCACAGGTTTGAGTGTGTCAAGAACTACAACACTGCTGGGTTTTTCACACTCAACAGTTTCCTGTGTGTATCAAGAATGGTCCATCACCCAAAGGACATCCAGCCAACTTCCCTGTGGAACGTGTGACACCTTGTAAAGTGCATGCCCCTACGAATAGAGGCTGTTCTGAGGGCAAAAGGGTTGCAACTCAATATTATGAAGGGGTTCCTAATATTTTGTACACTCCATGTATACTGTACATTGTCTCCACATAAGGAAGTGCAGAGCATAAAAAAGTCAAAAACTAAGCAGCAAGCAACAAAAACAAGCAGTTGAACACTGAAAAGTACTGCAGCAATAACAACTGTGAAACCAAAAATAGATTGAGGCTAAATAGAATGGAATAACCCTATATGTAATCCCTAAGGGTGTATTGTGTGTCATTAGGGAAGGGCAGCAATATTGGCCTTAAAAGGGGTAATTTATGGGGTTTTCCCCTGGCCACATTTTTGATGGGCCAAAAAACACAACCTTTTTGCCCCACACCAAAAAATTTTTTTTCCTTTTTGTTGAAAATTCAAATTGTCATCAAAAGACTCCAAAGCACTTTTGGAACCCGGGTGCCAAAATAGCCCCCTCTCTTTTTGCAAGCAAAATAAAATAAATTTTAAAGTTTCCCCTTATATTTTTTTAATCCATTTCATCTTTTAAAAGGAGGCAGGTTAAAAAAAAGCCCAAAATGGGGCCACAAGGTAAAACAAAAAAAGGGGGAATTGAACACGAAATTTTAGGGGGCAAGAATAAAACCCTGGGGGAACCCCAAAATTTTTTGGGTTGAGGCCAACCCCCCAAAGGAATAAACCCCTTTTGAATTTCCCCCGAAGTAACCCCCCCTAAAAAATAATTTCTAAAAATTTAATAATTTATTTTTTCCAAATTTTGAAATTGAAAATGTACATGTCTCCACGGAATGGGCTTCCAAGGAAAAACCCCAAAAAAACATTGCATAAAAAGAGCAAAAAAAAAATTAAAACCAAAATGTTACAAAAAATTAACCCATAGTAATTTAATACCTATAATTTTTTAAAATTTTTTAACCCTTTTAAAAATTTTTTTTTTCCAAGCTTGGTTTTTGAATGATGATAATTTTTTATTGTGTCCCGGTTATCCAACCCACCCCCAAGGGGCGGACAAAGGTTTCTTATCCCCACAGCGGGCAAAAAGAAACCCTTTTAAAAAATTAAATCCAAACCGAGCTTTTTAAAATAACCACACTCACATCAGCTATTTTTTGTGAAAAACCCCTCCTTTTAAACCCGGGCTCTAAAAGTGGGCTAAGAGCCCAAATTTGCCAGAAAACAGATTCTTGTCCTCTTGGGGAAATTTTTGGGGGTCTGTTGTTCAACTTTTTTTCTTAAGATTTGATTCTGATTGGCTATTTCTAGACAGTGGGCTAATCATCATTTGGCATGACATCCTAGGCAATTCCCATGTGATCAAACCAAAGTTTATTGGTCGCGCACATAGTTTAGCAGATGTTATAGCTGGTGTAGCGAAATGCTTATGTTACTAGCCCCTAACAATGCAGTAACTTGTCAAACAAGTACACAAATTATTTAAAAATATATATATATATAAACACAACAAGAAATCAAGAAAATGTCGGAACGAATCCAATTAAGAACCCAAATAGCACTAATGGACTAACTCTAGCCAAAGTCACATAGAGCAAGTCACATGGTTCTGGTCTAAAGTGGTGTAGTGTTACACAGGATATAGTGTGTCATTTGAGACAGCCATTGTTAAGTTAAAGTAGTAGAGTGTTGTAGGGGATATAGGGTGTAATGTGGGACACGGCCAGTCTAAAGTACTGTTGTGTTGTAGGGGATATAGATTGTCATTTGAGACACAGCCAAAAGAAATGCAGTGTTATTGTACGTATAGGGTGTCATTTGAGTGACAACTAGTCTCACCTCCTCCATCCTCCTCCTGTGGTTCTCCTTCTGGCTCCTCCTCTGGCTCCGCCTCCTGCTCCTCCTCTGCCTCCTCTGGAGAGAGAGAGAGAGAGAGAGAGAGAGAGCGAGAGAGAGAGCGAGAGAGAGATAGAGAGAGATAGAGAGAGGGGGGGGAGCCAAATGGGGAGAGAGAAAGTCAGAGAGCAGTTCAAAAAAGAAGGGACATGGGGCAATGACAAAATCAAGGCAATGCGGTAGAAATAGGGAAAAAAACGAAGAAAGACAAGTGTGGAGAAGAAAAAGACACAAATGAGGGGATGGAGAGAGACATTAGAATGATGATTAAAGAGATAGAAGATTAAAGGAATGGAGGGAGATGAAAAGAGAGATGGAGAGCGTGTGGCTAATAGATGGCAGAGGCTTGGGGCTTTAAAAACCATTTGTCAGCAGTGTGCTGAAAGCAATAGGAGCTGAGAGCACAGGCTAATAACAACAGGGTCATAGACTTCCACATGCAAGGCCAAGTGTGGTCCAACATTAATAACAACACTAACGCCTCAGCACAGCAACCCACTCACCTTCCGCCTGCCCCTCCCTACCAGAGATAGAGAGAGGGGGAGGGGGGGGGGGGGGGGGGGGGGGGGGGGGGAGAGCAAAAGTGTGTATGTGTGAGAGAGAGCGAGAGAGAGAGAAATTCAGTTACCAATTCAGTTGGCAATAAATTCCAAATTTTAACCAGGAAAGTGGCCATCACAGCATTACATCGGTGATTTATACTATTTCCATACTCACTCGTATTCCTCCTCTACATCAGACATGGCTGCACTAAAAGAAGACCGAAAGGAGAGAATATAAATTTCACATATAATCACCAACCTCTTTACAATACAATACTCTGACTGATTATCTAGCAACTATCACACACTACCACTATAAACAAATAAAATAGGTGATTTCCGCCCTCTTTTGACAGTCAATTTGATGGCTTAACCATTTCCCCCCTGTGCTCGGTTAGGTTTAATTCAGTTCAAAGTCTTGCACAGAATTCACTACATCAAAGCAAAACGTTGTAATTGCAGTCTCACCAAAAGTAAAGCAGATGTTGTAGCATGCTGTAGCCCACCGACAGATCTTACTTAATTGGATGTCCTCCAAACCACCCACTGTATCAGCCTGGTTGAAGGACCTAATGTCTTTTATTCATTTCGAAAAAATTTAATACACTCAGAGGATGTACTGATTACATTTTCCTGAGATGGCGACCTTTAATTTCCTTTTTTAAACAATTACCCTCTGTTGATCAGGAATAAGAATTTGGGCCAACAGGGAAAGGGAGGGGACACTATGTTGTGATGTGTTTTTAATATTGTTTTTTTTGTGTATGTTCCTTTTGTTTGTTTTCACTTTGTTGTTTGTTGTGGGGGAGGGCGGGGGTCTTGTTACAATAAGAAAATGATATATTTGTAGTTATGCCACGAATTGTAAATTGTATGCCTTTATATTTCCAATAAAAATCTATATATAAGAAAATAATGGGTGTTCACACGACATAGAGAAAGACACACACACACTCACAAGGGGATTGTGCATGTTGGACCATGGGGGTTTCTGCTATAAATTGTCCCATGGTGTTGACATCTTCCTGGCTGACAAGCAGAGAGATTGACAGTGTGAACAGGTGAGAATGTTACGGCCCTAAACACAGAGGGAGATACAGTTTCTATCACTTTCTTCAGTTCCCCTTCTTCATTTCTCTCTTCTATTTTCCATTCCTATTTGTCATCTTGAACAATATACCAATAGATGACTTTGGTGTGAAGGAGTAGAGAGTAAACTTGACGGGACACAGCAAATTGGCCAGTGTTAATTTTTCAGTGTAACATTTTTAGCATTGATTCAGGAACTAAATTCACTCTGTAAGCGTGAAATTATCACTCAGTGGTGTAAAATAATCCCCAGCATTGGTTTTTAATAACCAAAATGATTGTTTTACACTGTGGAGAGTGAAACAGTCCCATCAAAACCACGCCCATCATTATCATATTTCCCAGCATGCTCTACTTTTTTAGGATTGTTTTTAATATCTGTGTTTTTGCATGCACATTGATTGATTGATTAATCTTACGCTGCACAAATATAAATAACATATTTTTTTCTAAACTAATCTAATCAGTTAGTAGGATTTATTAAACTCCTTACTGAAATGGTTGTTCTGGTTTAGTCTTTTTTTTTTATCAAGCTTCCTAACCCTGACAGTCATTCCGAATGCAGGTCTGTCACGATCGTCATAATGAGTGGACCAAGGCGCAGCGTGATATGCGTACATCTTACTTTAATAGTGTACTATAAACACAACAGCTGATTCTCGTTGCCTCTGATTGAGAACCACCCCGGCCAACCTAGAAAACACATGAACTAGAAACTGAACATAGAACACAAAACATAGACCCTACACACCCTGGCTCAACATATAAGAGTCCCCAGAGCCAGGGCGTGACAGTACCCCCCCCCAAAGGCGCGGACTGCGACCGCGCCAACATAAACCCAACAGGGGAGGGGCCAGGTGGGCATTCCGCCTCGGAGGCGGATCCGGCTCCGGACGTGACCACCACCCTCTAACAACCCCCCCCCCCCCCGTAGCGCCCCTGGTCTGGTCCCGCTGGCTGGAGCTGGACTGGACATCGGTGGAGCGGATTGCTTAGGCTCCGGTGTGGAGCAGCTGACCGGTACCTGACCAGGCACCGGTGAAACAGGCACGGGCTGTGCCGGACTGACGACGCGCACCACAGGCTTGGTGCGGGGAGCAGGAACGGGCCGGACCGGGCTGACGTCGCGCACCACTGGCTTGGTGCGGGGAGCAGGAACGGGCCGGACCGGGCTGACGACGCGCACCACAGGCTTGGTGCGGGGAGCAGGAACAGGCCGGGCCGGGCTGGCGACGCACACCATTGGCTTGGTGCGGGGAGCAGGAACAGGCCGGGCCGGGCTGGCGACGCGCACCATTGGCTTGGTGCGAGGGGCAGGAACAGGCCGGGCCGGGCTGGCGACGTGCACCATAGGCTTGGTGCGAGGGGCAGGAACAGGCCGGGCCGGGCTGGCGACGCGCACCATTGGCTTGGTGCGAGGGGCAGGAACAGGCCGGGCCGGGCTGGCGACGCGCACCAAAGGCTTGGTGCGGGGAGCAGGAACAGGCCGGGAAGGGCTGGCGACGCGCACCATAGGCTTGGTGCGGGGAGCAGGAACAGGCCGGGCCGGGCTGGCGACGCGCACCATTGGCTTGGTGCGAGGCGCAGGAACAGGCCGGGCCGGGCTGGCGACGCGCACCATAGGCTTGGTGCGGGGAGCAGGAACAGGCCGGGCCAGGCTGGCGACGCGCACCATAGGCTTGGTGCGGGGAACAGGAACAGGCCGGACCAGGCTGTGGAGACGGACTGGAGGTCTGGAGCGAAGAGCTGACACAACCCGTCCTGGCTGAATGCCTATTTTTACACACTCTGTGTGAGGCATCAGCACAGGACGTACAGGGCTGTGTACTCGTACTGGCACTACAGCACGTGGCACTGGCGCAGGATATCCGGGACCGAGGAGGGGCACTGGAGGCCACGAGCGTTGAGCCGGCACACTCCGTCCTGGCTGCATGCCCACCTTAGCACGACACGTGTGTGGTGCTAGCACAGGACGTACAGGACTGTGCCGGACCACTCGCGGCACAGTACGCAGCTCCGTATACCTCGGAACCTGCCCAGTCTCACGCTGCCTAGCCTGAGTACGGGGAGTTGGCTCTGCTCTACCTCTAGGCTCCGCCAACCTCCCTTCCAGCCCCCCAAACCCGGTGGCCTCCTCTCCTAATCCACAAACTCGCCCAGTAGCTGCCTCCAGCAGCCCCGTCTTCCATGCCGTGTGCCCCCCCCAAAAAATGTATTGGGGGTGCCTCTCGCCTGTCCGACGACGGCCCGGTTGGCGCCGCTTCTCCTCTCCTGCCTGGGTCTCCCCCTTCCTCACCCTCCGGTAACGGACGGCCTCCTCCTCTGTGATCTGCCCCCAACCGAGGAGGACATCCACTAACGTTACCTCCGGCGTTTGCTCCTGGACACGCTGCTTGGTCCTGTTTTGGTGGGATCTTGTTCCGTGTAGGTTTGTGTTATTGACCGAGGACTTCACGTATCGTTTTGTAGTTTTTTTGTTGTATTTGTAAAGTACCTATTAAAGTATGTACTCATATCACGCTGCGCCTTGGTCCACTTTTCATGACGATCGTGACAAGGTCAATAAAAATTCCAACTGTAGGATATCCTAACTCTTGCTTGATTCCAATAGGAATTACACATTACTTTGCCAGCCAGCATAATAGGACTTGGAGGCCTGATGTGGCCTGTAAACCAGGAATTTCCTAACATTACTGTGTTGGAGTAAAACTAGGCCATCAAATTAAGGCTTTATAATATATGTAATGTAGTGTCATAAAGTTTAATTTGTAAAACATACACCTAGGTACTCATTTGGTGAAAGCCACAGGCCTTTAAATAGAAAGAATTCAACAAGAATTTAACACTAATCAGAGTTAACTCTAGATTAACACTAGTGATTAATAGAAATAACACTGATTGTTAATTACCCCATAGTGTTAAATTTGAGTAACACTGGCAAGTGTAATGCAGTGTTAATATTTTACACTACCAAGTGTTACATTAACACGCAAAATGTAACACTATAATCAGAGTACATTTTACACTCTGTAGAGTGGCCCCATATGTTATCTGAGGTAGTGTTAAAATGTACTCTAAGTGTTGATTTAATACTGCCAAATGTACTGTGATAGTCGTGGTTGGTTATACTTGGGTTTGTATAATCAAAACCTATAGGTCTAGTCCTCAGCAATACATGTTGTCATTGAATATAAGAGCTTTATAAAACTTTACACTTGGGGCCTGGGGTTGGTTCCAGCACATATCGGAGTTAATTAGATTGAATCCTGGTCCTTCTTTCCCCAGTCCTTCTTTCTCATCTTCCTCTTGTCTCTATCAACCCCTATTCTTTCTTGTGTCTATCAACCCCTATTCATTCTTGTGACTATCAACCCCTATTCTTTCTTGTGACTATCAACCCCTATTCTCTTCCTCGTCTGTCTATTAACCCCTCTTCTCTTTTCCCGGTGACATCTCTCCATAATGGTGTCATCCTGAAACAATTTATAGCATAGCATTGCCCAGGAAATATTTTTAGTGCACATAGCTGTGGTCGCGCCTCTCCCTCACTTGGTTTTGTGCCTGAAACAATGTCGGCCATCCTAAAATGCCATCGGCGCCTCACGGAGATTAATCCATCCCCCTTTCCAACGGGTGTCACGGCTAATGAGTTACTCAGTGTGTTTACCCTGCCAACAGAAGGGACAATGAGACGCACTGACGGATGGACGAAGGGACACATGGCGGGTGACAACATTGGTGGAGGTCCAGTGCTGATAGAGTTGGTCCTGTCATTACTTTGCTTCCAAAGCTCCACTGTGTCCTGTTTGACTGCTCACGTTAGTTTGTGGTACTACATTGTCATGAGTTGATTGACATTGTTTCTTTTTTTCATCAGTAGACTGTGTTTTTCAATGTATTAGGTTCGTTTTATGATGTGCTCCTAAAAGCTGGTCCTGGATCTGCTTCCCTCTCCCTAACCATTACCACATTGACTTTAAGACAATTGTCAATGCTAAATCAGTTCTCCCTGTTTTTACCAAGCTACATATGAAATCCACCAGTGTTTTAGACCTGACATGATAAATCTAGGCCTACACCCAGTGGTGGAAAAAGTACCCAATTGTCCTAAAAGTAAAGATACCTTAATAAAAAATGACTCAAGTAAAAATGTTCCCTTGATAAGTGTGTGAATTAGACCATGTTCCTGTCCTGCTAAGCATTCAAAACATAACGTGCACTTTTGGGTGTCAGGGAAAATGTATGGAGTAAAAAGTATATAATTTTCTTCAGGATTGTAGTGAAGTAAAAGTAAAAGTAAAGTACAGATACCACAAAAAACTACTTAAGTACTTTACACCACTGCCTATACCCAAGCTTATTCCACTCTAACCAGAAACAGGGTCATGTTCATTTGGCACCAAGGTAAAAAACAGACAAACGGGGAGAGACAACCTGGAATTGTCCAATAAGAAACATACATTTTGATTTTCTGTTGCAAAACATTAAAAAACATTTTCCATTGCGTGTCCCAATGACCGACCCAGGAGAAGCCAGAATGGATATGGAAAAGGGGTGTGAGCTCAGCTGCGGGAGGGAGGGTTAAGAATGCCGGCCCAGCAGTCGGCCTAACAGGTGAGGCAGCAGAAGCCCACCATTTGGAGCTAAATGGCAGTCCGCCAAGACAGACAGCCGGGATTTGAGGGAAGTGTAAAGTTACTCCGGGACATCAGCGGAGGGAGCATTAACGGTGGAATTCTGATGGGTTAATTTTAGTCAAGGACGCCGTGGGAGAGGATGGGAGGCAGGGTGGGAGATTAGGGTGAGTCACACCGGCTCATTATCACTGCTCTAGGGGAGAGGACCGTATTAATAGTCCTAGGAGGGAGGGAGAGCGGGGATCACTGCTCCTTGCCATCTGTCTGTCTGTCTGTCTGTCTGTCTGTCTGTCTGTCTATCTATCCATCTATCCATCTATCCATCTATCCATCCATCTATCTATCTATCTATCCCGGTGGGAACGAGGAGGAGGGAGGAAGAAGAGACAGTTGGCACAGGATGACTGACTAGCTGATTGGACATTAGGGATGGCTACAAGTGCTACAAGGTCAATGAGGGGCCTTATCCCAGCCGCTGCTATTAAAGTACAATCCATAATCCTCCACAGAAGACAATATACTCAAAACACAAACCATCATACATGACCAGGCCTACTAAAAAACCCACACACACTGACATTGATCAGTAAATGCAAGAAATATATGCACCAACTAAAAACACTGACAGGGTATAAGTTTGATCTAACAGGTACAAAAACTGATCCCACAGACAGACAGATAAGATATTCCTAGCAAAAAGATTCATAAGACGGCAGTTTCCCAGACACAGCTTAAACTGAGTCGAACTAAACTGAGAGAGCAGCATCAAGAGGTGAAAGGTCATTCAGAACCTGGATGTACAGGAGGAGAGTTGGAGAAAGACTTACCGAGAGCAAGGTGAGGTTTCAATGGTGTGACAGACAGATACACAGACAGACAGAGGAGCCCAGGAGAATGACTATTGTTGTGAGAGACAATGGGAGTTTTATACAGGGGAGGGGTGGTGATGGGCAGTGTGTGTATGTGTAGGGCAGAGGGCCATGGGCGGATTAGGAGAGAACTTTGGGAGGGAAAGACAACCACCTCCTGGGATTAAGAAAACGAGGGAATGACCTCACTGAACAAAAGAGGGGCAGGTGGAGAGAGAGAGGGAGAGACACAGAGACACACAGAGAGCGAAAGGGGAGAGAGAGAGGGGGAGACACAGAGACACACAGAGAGCGAAAGGGGAGAGAGAGAGGGGGAGACACAGAGACACACAGAGAGCGAAAGGGGAGAGAGAGAGGGGGAGACACAGAGACACACAGAGAGCAAAAGGGGAGAGAGAGAGAGGGGGAGACAGAGACACACAGAGAGCGAAAGGGGAGAGAGAGAGAGGGGGAGACACAGAGACACACAGAGAGCAAAAGGGGAGAGAGAGAGAGGGGGAGACACAGAGACACACAGAGAGCGAAAGGGGAGAGAGAGAGGGAGAGACACAGAGACACACAGAGAGCGAAAGGGGAGAGAGAGAGGGGGGGAGACAGAGACACACAGAGAGCGAAAGGGGAGAGAGAGAGAGGGGGAGACACAGAGACACACAGAGAGCGAAAGGGGAGAGAGAGAGAGGGGGAGACACAAGGGGGATGAGAGGAGCAGACCAGGGACAGAAATAAAAGGCCATAAATAGGTGGGATGAGTATTTTCTTCCCTCTCTTTCCACGAGTAGGGTCTTCCGTTCATAGAGGGACTCCGGGAAACAAGTAGTTAAACAAGTAAAACCCATACTAAAGAGACAGTTGAATGGGGTATTGTTGGGATACATGTTGATTAACTGCAAGAGTGTTTGAATGATTATTATGGCTTAATATGGCTGGTGTGATAATGATGATGCATGGCTAATGTTTAGTGTGATAACTCTTCATTTATCAAAGACGAACTGAAGTGATTTGAACATAAGCACTCACAGACAGTTTTATTTTCATATACAACAAATGGATAAATATCTGACATTCAGTTTCTTCATGAAGACACCACTGGCATTGTCACCGTGAGAATCTGTAATGAGAGAAAGGGGAGGGAGAGAGGAGAAGAAAAGAGTGTCAATATCAGAATAGCTGTACTGTGTTTTAGAATGTGTGTGTGTACCTGTGTGTTGGTGTTGTACTGTGCTACGCTGCCCTCCTGGTCAATGAAGAAGGGAGTGAAACAGTCTAGATGAAAGAGGGAGGGCCGGGCATTCAGAACCAGCCTGTCCTCCCCAAGGTCCAGAACGAGGGAGAGAGAGAGGAGGCCTGGAAAGAGGGGGAGGGAGGGAGTGAGGACAAGAGAAGGTTGCTGGATTATGTATTCATGTCATAATAATCACCCCAAGTTTTCCCTGACTGCGCTTGACTTGAACAGAAAAAAACTCTGGGCCCTATTAGTCACTGCCACTTACAGTGCCTTCGGAAAGTATTCAGACCGCTTGACTTTTTCCACATTTTGTTAAGGTTACAGCCTTATTCTAAAATGAAATAAATCTACACACAATAACCCATAATGACAAAGCAAAAATAGGTTTTTAGAAATGTTTGCTAATTTATTACAAATAAAAAACGGAAATATCACATTTACATAAGTATTCAGACCCTTTACTCAGTACTTTGTTGAAGCACCTTTGACAGCGATTACAGAGTCTTCTTGGGTATGAAGCTACAAGCTTGGCACACCTGTATTTTGGGCGTTTCTCCCATTCTTCTCTGCAGATCCGCTCAAGCTCTGTCGGGTTGGATGGGGAGCATCGCTCCACAGCTATATTCAGGTCTCTCCAGAGATGTTCGATCGGGTTCAAGTCTGGGCTCTGGCTGGGCCACTCTAGGACATTCAGAGACTTGTCCTGAATCCACTCCTGCGTTGTCTTGGCTGTGTGCTTAGGGTCATTTTCTTGTTGGATGCTGCCACCACCATGCTTCACCGTAGGGATGGTGCCAGGTTTCCTCCAGACGTGACGCTTGGCATTCAGGCCAAAGAGTTCAATCTTGGTTTCATCAGACCAGAGAATCTTGTTTCTCATGGTCTGAGAGTCCTTTAGGTGCCTTTTGGCAAACTCCAAGCGGACTGTCATGTGCCTTTTACTGAGGATTGGCTTCCGTCTGGCCACTCTACCATAAATGTCTGATTGTTGGAGTGCTGCAGAGATGGTTGTCCTTCTGGAAGGTTCTCCCATCTCCACAGAGGAACTCTGGAGCTCTGTCAGCGTGACCATCGGGTTCTTGGTCACCTCCCTGACCAAGGCCCTTCTACCCCGATTGCTCAGTTTGGCCGGGCGGCCAGCTCTAGGAAGAGTCTTGGTGGTTCCAAACGTCTTCCATTTAAGAATGATGGAGGCCACTGTGTTCTTGGGGACCTTCAATGCTGCAGAATTGTTTTGGTACCATTCCCCAGATCTGTGCCTCGAAACAATCCTGTCTCAGAGCTCTACGGACAATTCCTTCGACCTCATGGCTTGGTTTTTGCTCTGAAATGCACTGTCAACTGTGGGACCTTATATAGACAGGTGTGCCTTTCCAAATGATGTCCAATCAATTACATTTACCACAGGTGGACTCTAATCAAGTTGTAGAAACATCTCAAGGATGATCAATGGAAACAGGATGCACCTGAGCTCAATTTCGAGTCTCAAAGCAAAGGGTCTGAATACTTATGTAAATAATAAATGATTTTTAATACATTTGCAAACATTTATAAAAACCTGTTTTTCACTTTGTCATTATGGGGTATTGTGTGTAGATTACTGAGGATCTATATATATATATATATATATATATATATATATATATATATATATATATATATATTTAAACAATTTTAGTATAAGGCTGTAACGTAACAAAATGTGGAAAAAGTCAAGGGGTCTGAATACTTTCCGAAGGCACTGTATGTTGATTGGATAATTATTTGAAAAAGCTGTGTTGGTGCTGGGCTGGAACAAACCCCAGCATTTCCTGTGGGTCCCCAGGACCAGCTAAGAAGAACACTGGCATAGAGTATAGGGAGGGAGTGAGGAATCAGTTTAACACATTGAGTATATGGAATTAAGAATGGGTTTACAAAATAGTATATTGATACAGGGTGAGGAAACGGTTTGAGTATAGGTGGTGAAGGATGCGTTTAGGACGTAGTCTATAGGGTAGGGGTGTCGAAACGGTATAAATGATAATGATATGGCTTGCAAGGGGGTATAATCCGGCCCCCGGGTGGTTTGAGTAAAATAAAAAACAAACACAATATACTTTAAAATGACTCAAACCAAATTGAAACTGTGCAGAAATGATAATGGACCTATATAAACAATTTTCTGTGCAGCCCTCTGAATGCGGCCCCTGGGGCAAAATGACTTTGACACCCCTGCTATAGGGAAAGAGGTTAAACACAGAGTATAGGGGGAGAGGGATGTGATTAGGACTGGGCTTCTGTTTCACCAATCCAGGCAGGTGTATCTCTGCTATCAGAAACTCTGGATCACCTACAGGGGGCTCCACCAGCAGACAGAACTCTGGCCTGGAGATGGATGGAGAGAAGAGAGGAGATGAGAGGAGAGGAGAGGGAGAGAGAGGTGGGTTAGAGCAAGAGTGAGAAAGAAGGAGAAAATTAGGATGTTCCAGTTTGGTATGTGACAATCAAATCCACAGTGGACAACTCAGACAGACCAACCGTTTGGCTGGTTCTGGGGGTGTGTGAGTATCCCTGTGGAGAGTGAGAGTGAGAGAGAAAAAGAGAGATTGAAGGGGGAGGGAGGGAGAGAGAGGAGATTGAACTCTTCCACATACAGACTGTAGTAAACTCTACACCACCCTCTAGTGGAGAAGTATTACATTTACATTACATTTTAGTCATTTAGCAGACGCTCTTATCCAGAGCGACTTACAGTTAGTGAATACATATATATATATATTTTTTTTATACTTGCCCCCCGTGGGAATCGAAACCCACAACCCTGGCGTTGCAAACGCCATGCTCTATCAACTGAGCTACATCCCCTGCCGGCCATTCCCTCCCCCATACCCTGGACGACGCCGGGCCAATTGTGCGCCGCCCCAATGGGTCTCCCGGTCGCGGCCGGCTGCGACAGAGCCTGGATTCGAACCAGGATCTCTGGTGGCACAGTTTGCACTGCGATGCGGCGCCTTAGACCATCGCAGTGCAAACTATTGATAACAGAAGAAGTGAGTTTTGAGTGACGTGTGTGTGTGTGTGAGTGAGAGTGCAAGAAAGAAAGCGAGAGCGCGCAAGAAAGAGAAAGCGAAAACATACTTGGGGTGTATTTCCTGAATCACAGGTTTTCTCTTGGTACGAATAATCTGTTAGTTCACAGAGCCCAGAAACTTCCTGTTCTTCAGAACCTTCCAGTCTGGGAGGGAAGTAGAGAAATACACATGAAGTAAGGAGAGAAACAAAGTGATATTACCTCAGCTGGCGCAGAACACTTGTCTGATTAATGCTCACTCACTCACACACACACACACACCCACCCACCGAGACACACACATGAAAAAATAAAATACATCCATATTCAAGCTTACACACACACTAAAGATACAGGCGCACACAAACACACACACATCGGCTGAGCTCCAGGTTGTATTTGTTCTCCAGCCCCTCTAATGACACAGCGATCAGAAACTGCTGGAATAGAGGATCCTTGTACAAAGGAGTTACACACACACCCCCGCAAACACATGCGCAAAAACACACACACCTGGCATTTATGGAAGAACTCTTCACTGATGACCATGTCGTAGGCTGTGCAGCCTTGGGAGTCTGTGGGGACAGGACAGAACCAGAGGTGGGACCAAGTCACTATTATTCGAGTCACAAACAAGTCTCAAGTCACAAGGTCCGAGTCTCAAGTCGAGTCCCAAGTAGAACAGGTCGAGTCTCAAGTCAGGTCTAAGTCGTTCATTCTAAGAGCAAGTCAAGTCACACGTTTTTTCAAGTCTCAAGTCAAGTAAAAAATTATCTATACATGCAATGACTGAAAATCTTATTTATTGAGGCTACCAGACAGCCTTTTCATTATTTTTGTCCACAACACATTTTGATTATGTAATTGTAAAATAGGGACCTTGTAGCAGTGGTAGGGGCACGCAATCAGCAGAAGGCATGCAGGTTGACGTGCTCAGAGATGGTGTTAGACCTGTGATGAGTTGTGCCTGGTTTTCTCCAGACATTTGCATTCAGGCCAAACTGTTCACTTTGTCTCATCTGACCACAGAATCTTTCGCCTTATGCTCTCAGGGTGGGTTGCACCACCATAGTTTAAATTAATATAGGATTAGAGCTAATCTAGGTTTTGTAAATCTAGGTTTATAATTAATCAGAGATGTGTTGCACCACTTAATTTTAAATCTGTATCAGTACATCTATGATTAACGGTTTTAAACTATGATTAGTGACATATTACACCAATATATGAGGTATTTCGTGAGTTGAAACGAAGTAGCTAGCCTACTTGACAAATGAGGCCACAAAGTTGCTGTTCCTTTATAAAATAATAACAATGTAACGTTAGAACTACTGCAACTCCATCTTGAAAGGTTCTCATGAGTTGGCTGATTTGAAATAAAATCCGTTATTTACCAGTACTAGACAGAATACTAATTTGTTAGCTAACGTTAACTACTGTAGCTAGCTAGTTTATAAACCAAGCTAGTGTTAGAAATAGCGTTAGTTCAAATCTGGTATTGGAATAAGAGAAAACATAATCAAGAGATATTCAATCCAAGCGTAATTTATTATATGCAAAATGTATGTATGATAAGTATGATGGTTCGTATACAGGCTCACTGAAATACCACGCAGGGCAGACAGAGAACTAAGTTCCTTATTACAGGCTCTTCTTTAAATACCCTGACAGTGATAGTTCCCGCTCCTTGCTGGGCCTATCAGGGTAGAGGCTGAGTGTGGTTTAGACTTACTCAGCCTATCGTTGGCGCACAGGCTGGTCCCAGTCCCTTGGCGCTTCACTGTTGCCAGGCATTAATTGTTATCTCCACAACTTGTCCCGAGTCAGCACTTTTGCAGTACACATGTCCTTGAGTGCGGTTTAACAAAGAGGCTGTGTTTGTGTCTGTGTGACACACACAAGTCTTATCTCCCCCTACTCCCCAATAGTTCCCCACATTAATCACAGCTTGTTATATTAAACAGTCTAGATCAGTACAGCACAAACCTATTATGTTTAGTCATTAATGCATTCTTTCTAAGCTAGGCATCACATCTAGTTATAAGAAAATAGAACCCCACACTAGCTAGCATAAAATATAATTTATCGTCTTTTAGCCATTTATTATTTGTCCGCTAGCCACCTGATCATGGCACGTCAAAGTTCTTCAAATTTCTCTGCTTATGAAAAAACCTTGTCGGAGCTGATGGAGGATTTTAGTAACGTACTGGAGGATAAAAAGACACACAACACGACTGTCAAAGAGAAGGAAGAAACCTGGGCCATTTTATGCGACAGATTTAATGGATCGACACGGATTAAAGAGAAGAGGGCCTCACATCGGATGAAGGCCTGCTGGAAAAACTTGAAAGCGAAAGCCAAAAAGGATGCAGCAGAGGAGAGGCGGGGGCTATTTCAGACCAGAGGGGAGCCTCCGTCCAAGGGAATTGATCCTCTCTCCCAGAAGATATGAGAGATGATTCCCCAGCAGTTTGCCCCTCTCCTTAACCCATATGATGACGACGGACAACTCGACCCACCAATATTTAGTAAGCATAAATAACTGGTAAATATCAATGACTATAATGCACGTTAAAACTAACATTAATGCTAGCTACTTCACTACAATGTTACCGTTATCAGGCCCATTACATCATGTTGCATAACATCATCATTCGTACCAAGGCTGGGCATATCATACGCCCCAATTCAATTGTTGTACGTAAATAGCCTTCTAATAATGAGTTAATTTTCTGTCTTTCCTTTCCTTTAGTTGAGCTGACACCCTATGCCGTGGAGAACCAGCAGTGCCTGGACAGGCCAAGCAAACGCCCCAGAACTGACATGAACCAAGCTCATATTGATGTTTTGGAGCTGGAGAGAGAGAAAAATCGACTGCAGATTGAGGTCCTGAATTTACAAAAAGAGCTACTGCAAATTCAGAAACAGAAACTGCTTCAGGGAAACAAATGGCCACTGTGTAAAGAATGCTGATCTTTTTATTTATTTAAGCAATTATTTATTAAAACAATTATTTATTAAAACAATGCTTTCCCAAGCAATGTGGTGTCCTCCAGTCTTGTCCCCACTCTTGTGTTCTGGTGCTTCCAGTTCCACCCTGTATGGTATTGAGAATAACAAAGTCTAAATAATACATTTGAATACAGATAGCCTAATTATGAATTGTGTGTGTCGATCAAAGTATAATATTGCTTTTTATATGTTAACAATGTTACATTATATACACCTTAGGCTGCAAAATGGTTCTCAATCAAGGTTCTCCTCACAGCATTCCCATTTGCATTGGCAGCATGTTGCACCTGGCCATCTTCTGCATTCTCCCCAGGTAGGACCTCCTCAGTCTTCTCAGGTAGCTCGTCCCCTTGTCTCTTGCCAAAGTTATACAGAACTGCCACCGCAATAATGATCGTCAGTGTAGTGTCCATCTTTGTGCGGAGCCCCTCCTCTAGGCACGGGAATCTTTTTTTCCCCCACACTCCAAAAACTCTCTCTATGAGACCTCTTGCCAGGATATGAGAGGTGTTGTATTCTCTCTCTTCATGTGTCTGGGGGTTTAAAAGGGGAGTATAAGGTATCCACGACAGGCATATCCATTGTCACCTAGTATGTGGCCTTCATATGCCCCCCTTTCCAGCATTGCACACAGACGACTATTGTCAAAGATTCTGCTGTCATGGGTGGATCCTGGCCATCTAGCTACGATGTTGGTGAGCTGACCTTTGTCATCATGTCGCCCCTAGTACACCTGGGAATCTAGCTCTCCTGTAAAATCCAGCTGCTGTTTCCTCCGTAGGCTTGAACCTTATGTACTGGTTCTTCAGACTGGCAATAGCACTGGAAACTCTGACTTGTGGAGTCCAAAAAGGTCCCCATCCACCATCTGGAAACATCCAGTTGCGTAGAACCGTAGGGTCACCAAGAGCTGAAGTAGTGGGAGTACAGCCATATTCCTATCCATGCTTAATGGTTGGTCCAACCTTTCTTTTCAGTTGCATTACAGAGTCCTTGGAGAAGCGGTATCGTCTTGAAAACTCATCATTATCATAAAATTCAACAGGATTTAACCTGTCTCTAATTATTCTCTGAGGATCTCTGTCGTTTTGGTCTCTCCACAGTAGATATGCTGCCATTTGATCAGTTAAACCATCTCTGATGTCTTTCTGGAAAGCAACCCTTTCCCTGATCTCGTCAACTTTGTTATCTAGGGACTGGACATTAGAAAGTAATATACTCGGAAGCGATGGGTGGTGTGCGCGCCTCCTAAGTCTGACTAGAAGACCGCTCCGGCGGCGTTGTTTTGGGTCGGCATCTGGAATCAGTTCAAATGCCCTGGGGTGCGGACAAAGGATCCGCTTCGGGAAAGTCGTATTCCTGGTCGTAGTGCTGGTAAGTTGATGCCGCTCTGATATCCAATAGTTCTCCCGGCTGTATGTAATAACACTTAACATTTTCTGGGCTAACAATGTAAGAAATAATACATAAAAAATTAAATACTGCAAAGTTTCCTAAGGACTAGAAGCGAGGCAGCCCTTTCTCTCGGCGCCATTTTAGTAATTTAAAGTGTTGAACAAATCGTTATATTTACTACGTCTGTCCTAGCTCGCTCAATGTCTTAATCAAAATTATGGATTGCCTCTTATACGCTCGTCGTCCCCTTATGCCATAGTTTCTACATCTCAATTGTCAGTAGAAACCACATTTGTTTAAGCAATTCAGCCATATCAGCTATGTTTTTTAAAAAGGCAGTAAATGAGGCTGAATTAACTGTTTTGCAGCCAGACAAGGCTCCGCTGATAGCCAGGTGTAGCAGTGGTAAGGATTCACTCCATGGGGCTGAAAAGGAAGCTCTGCTGTTGGGACAGCTTTATGTAGGCCTTAACAGTTTGTGGGCGCCGTTTGTCACCGTTATTGTGCAATTAATGTATTGTTTAGTGTTGTGTTGTGTTGTGTAGTGGCTTAGCTGGTGTGCATCCCAAAAAAATTGGGGGAGTTTGCCCCAACAAGATTTACATGCTAAAATCGCCACTGGCGTATACCGTTGTAGCTGTTTGAGAAGGCATGCAAAATTGAGCAATAATGGGGAGATTTGATTAACCAATGTCTAGTCCTAGCTGATGGAGCTCGGATACACCCCTTTCCCCCGAAACACACACACGCTGGTCTCCCTTTGTGACCATTTTCCCAGGCACCTCTGTGCAGTCAGACCATTAGATTATTTTGTGCCGCCAGGGCCACAATAATTTGCCCCCTCTCTGATTGTCCGAGTGTGACCCCCTAAACATGGGTTACTGCAGCTAGTGTTGCCAGGACTGCCACTACCTGGGTGGGGTACTCCACCGGAATTCCCACTGGCTAGGTATGATGTCGTCAAGGTTGTCATTAGCAGCTTTGAGAGATTCCTTGTATATTATGCTCAGCAATCTGGGGGCTTTGGCTTTGTTGGACCAACCCTGCCAGGCAGGCTAAGACTCTTGAGGGGCGGTGCTGCTTTAGTGGGTCTCTTTCTGTCTTGGCTACGTATAGGCTACTCGCAGTAGGCCAATAAAACAGATAAGGACTTTTCCTTAGTGTATGGGTCGCTCTGGTGGGTGTCTAGGGTATAGGGTTGTCTTAATTATAGGCTACCCCGCCTTTCTCTGTTTCCTATTTCTATCATGTTAAATATTAGCCACTATCAGTATCGACCATCAGTAGACCTAATAACAACACATATTCAACTGCCAATTTACTGTTCGTTCCCTTCAGTTGGTACAGCCTACATTATCATTCCATTTAATTACAATGTTTAATTTACCTTCATTTTCGTCCTATGTAAACATCGTCATGGCCATGTGGTTGTTGCTGAGGAGCATTAGTAATAGTTGATAATATATACTAAGTGTACAAAACATTAGGAACACCTTTCCATGAAATAGACTGACCAGGTGAATCCAGGTGAAAGCTATGATACCTTATTGATGTCACTTGTTAAATCCACTTCAAATCAGTGTAGATGAAGGGGAGGTTAAAGAAGGATGTTTAATCCTTGAGATAATTGAGACTTGGATAGTGCCTTTCAACGGGGTATGGTAGTAGGTGCCAGACACACCGGTTTGAGTGTGACAAGACCTGCAACTCTGCTGGGTTTTTCATGCTCAACAGTTTCCCGTGTGTATCAAGAATGGTCCACGACCCAAAGGACATCCAGCCAACATGACACAACTGTGTGAAGCAGTGGAGTCAACATGGGCCAGCATCCCTGTGGAACACGTTCGACACCTTGTAGAGTCCATGCCCCCAACAAATTTAGTCTGTTCTGAGGGCAAAAGGGGGTGCAACTCAATATTAGGAAGGTTGTTCCTAATGTTTTGTACACTCAGTGTATATAAAAAAGACATGTAGGCGCAATACTTGGCTGTCATCACACAGTTCCATGGTTAGTGCAGGCAATTGACAAGGGTATAGGCTACTATTGTACACCTGTCTCCCTTTTATAATTCTATGTACACTAATATTTCAACATTACCATGGGTTAAAGAACTGAATGTGGCAATGTTCAGAATGAATCAAACCACCGGTTTCTTTCTTTTGTGCATAAAGGCTGTCACGCCCTGACTCAGAGGACGCTTATATGTTGAGTCAGGCTGTGTATATTCATTGTTGTGATGTTCTATGTTATATTTTCTATGTTTAGATCTAGGATGTCTAGATCTATGTTGGCCGGTGTGGTTCCCAATCAGAGACAGCTGTCGCTCGTTGTCTCTGATTGGGGACCATACTTAGGCAGCCTATTGGCACTAGTGGGTTGTGGGATCTTGTTCTGTGTTAAGGTATGTTGTGCTGCCTTGGACGTCACGTTTCGTTGGTTTGTTGTTTTGTCGGTTGTTTATTCATTCAAATAAACATGTATGCATATCACGCTGCGCCTTGGTCCGTCCCGTCTGTAAACGAACGTAACAAAGGCTCTCCAAACTTGTTTTTAATTATTCATAAATACTTTCCTAACTGTAAATAATCTACAAGATCAGAGTATTTTTAAATCTACTAATTGGTGCTGAAACGGAGACGAATATGCATACAGTGGGGAAAAAAAGTATTTAGTCAGCCACCAATTGTGCATGTTCTCCCACTTAAAAAGATGAGAGAGGCCTGTAATTTTCATCATAGGTACACGTCAACTATGACAGACAAATTGAGGAAAAAAAATCCAGAAAATCACATTGTAGGATTTTTAATGAATTTATTTGCAAATTATGGTGGAAAATAAGTATTTGGTCACCTACAAACAAGCAAGATTTCTGGCTCTCACAGACCTGTAACTTCTTCTTTAAGAGGCTCCTCTGTCCTCCACTTGTTACCTGTATTAATGGCACCTGTTTGAACTTGTTATCAGTATAAAAGACACCTGTCCACAACCTCAAACAGTCACACTCCAAACTCCACTATGGCCAAGACCAAAGAGCTGTCAAAGGACACCAGAAACAAAATTGTAGACCTGCACCAGGCTGGGAAGACTGAATCTGCAATAGGTAAGCAGCTTGGTTTGAAGAAATCAACTGTGGGAGCAATTATTAGGAAATGGAAGACATACAAGACCACTGATAATCTCCCTCGATCTGGGCTCCACGCAAGATCTCACCCCGTGGGGTCAAAATGATCACAAGAACGGTGAGCAAAAATCCCAGAACCACACGGGGGGACCTAGTGAATGACCTGCAGAGAGCTGGGACCAAAGTAACAAAGCCTACCATCAGTAACACACTACGCCGCCAGGGACTCAAATCCTGCAGTGCCAGACGTGTCCCCCTGCTTAAGCCAGTACATGTCCAGGCCCGTCTGAAGTTTGCTAGAGTGCATTTGGATGATCCAGAAGAGGATTGGGAGAATGTCATATGGTCAGATGAAACCAAAATAGAACTTTTTGGTAAAAACTCAACTCGTCGTGTTTGGAGGACAAAGAATGCTGAGTTGCATCCAAAGAACACCATACCTACTGTGAAGCATGGGGGTGGAAACATCATGCTTTGGGGCTGTTTTTCTGCAAAGGGACCAGGACGACTGATCCGTGTAAAGGAAAGAATGAATGGGGCCATGTATCGTGAGATTTTGAGTGAAAACCTCCTTCCATCAGCAAGGGCATTGAAGATGAAACGTGGCTGGGTCTTTCAGCATGACAATGATCCCAAACACACCGCCCGGGCAATGAAGGAGTGGCTTCGTAAGAAGCATTTCAAGGTCCTGGAGTGGCCTAGCCAGTCTCCAGATCTCAACCCCATAGAAAATCTTTGGAGGGAGTTGAAAGTCTGTGTTGCCCAGCGACAGCCCCAAAACATCACTGCTCTAGAGGAGATCTGCATGGAGGAATGGGCCAAAATACCAGCAACAGTGTGTGAAAACCTTGTGAAGACTTACAGAAAACGTTTGACCTGTGTCATTGCCAACAAAG